AAAAAAAAAAAAAAAAAAAAAAAATCCCCATAGAAACATCAGCATAGGTTTAAATATGGGGAATAGGGAAGCCTGATCAGTATGTCAACAATCTGTGCTGTGGAGACAGTATGAGCAGCAGGGCTGGCAGGCAGGCAGGCAGCAGTGCTCTCCTGCCAGGCTGCCTCCTGCGCCATGCTGGGGGCTGGGAGCCCTGAGAGGGGCAAAGCAGAGGGCAGGGCCTTCCAGGGAAAGAAGCCTGCACAAGCCAGTGCACAGCATGGCAGGCCGGGAGCCCTAATGCCCTGAGCTCCCTTGGCCATGGTGCTACTGTGTGCAAGGGTAAGAAGTAAAGGACTGGAGAGCTGAGAGGGCACCTGGCCAGGAGGCTGCTAAGCATGGAGGGCGGGTGGCTGACAGGGCAAGGGAAGGACCGGAGGGAAGCAGAAAATGGAAACAGACCACATTTGGTGACCAGTGGGACGGAGGCAGGAAGGAGAAGAAAGTCTGGGCTAAAAGCCAGGTTTCTTGCTAAGACTACATGCCGGTGTCACTCACACACACAGAGTGCTGAGGCTCCTTCCCTCCCTGGCAGCTCCTGGCACTGTGGGCTCAAAAAGGCCATCAGCAAACCAACTCCAGGCCAGGTTTTCCCCATAGCCTACGCATGGACTGGGAGGTGTGGGGGGGTGGCAGTAAAGGACCTGGATAGCCCAACCCACTTACCTTTCCCACGAAGGTGAAGAGGGCAGCCTCAGGGGACAGCTCCCCACTGTGTAACTTCTGTACCAGTTCAGGCAGGGGAAGGGCCAGCAGTGCCTCTGAGTCCAGGTCGGGGTTCTGTGGGGGACACACTCAGATCAGTCCCCGCCGCAAGCCTGCAGCACTCAAGCAGATGCTCACTGCCAAATCCCCACCTATGATCGATACACCCCCAGAAAGCTCTCACACCAGACAGGACACAGCCTGGGCAGATAGATACCTTGCTATCCCTGGACAGTGCACAGGTCACCTCCAGCTGATTACCGCACCCATCACAACTAACCCCATTCTGGCTGCCTGCTGCATGCACCAAGTATCCTGCTGAAGCATGCTGTTATTTTTGGCTTTTAGGTTTTGTTTAGTTTGAGACAGAGTGACACTATGTTGCCCAGGCTGGATCAAACTCCTGATCCTCCTGCCTCAGGGTCCTAAGCAGTATGCCTGCCACACTCCTTCCTTGTTCTGATCCTATCTTACTAGCATTCTCATTGCACAGGTAAAGAAACCAAGACTCAGACAGAGGAAGTGCCTCGCCGAGGACCATAAAGCTAAAGGGCAGTGCTCTGCCCACCCAGCAAGGCTGCCCAGTAGCTGTCCACCTGCACCTGACCCTCCAGGGCAGCTGGGTCTGTTGCTGGAGGAGGATGAAAGGAGGATGAGGAGAAGGGGAGTAGGAGACCATGAGACTGCAGATAAGCCGGGCTGTTGTGGGAGAGTTCTGACTTGGATGGGAGGGCAGGCCTATCTGAAGAAGAGACATTTCAGCTCTGAAATGAAGGGCAAGAAAGAGCCAGCTTCAGGGAGACACTGGCTCAAGGTTCCTCAGACACTGTGTCTTCCCTCCCTAGTGCTGGGGGAAGGCCTGCCCTCCTCTGGCTTCCAGTGTCCCCTCCACATCCCCCTGACTCTCCCCAGACCCTCCACCCACCCCATGGCCTCACATCCTCCATCCAGCTGCACGCCAGCTCACAAGGCTACTCTTGTCCTGCCCACCCCTCTGTGTCACCTGCTCACTCCTCTGTGATCTCATCACCTCCCCCACTTTCAACCTGTCCCCTCTACCATGGTGCACCTGCTCCTTTATTCACACCATTGCACTGCCATCCAACCGAGTGTTCAGGTGGGGAATTCCAGTCATTCCCGCTTCTCCCTCTCCCTCCCACCTGCATTCAAATCCGCCACTGAGCCTTCCGGGTAGCTTGGGAAATGGCCACCTCTCCATGCCAGACCCTCATCCAGACTCAGCCCTTCCTCCTGGGTCACACAGGGAAACTAACTCCTGCCCAGCTCAGGCCCTGTCCCCCTGGCCTGCCCTTCCTTCTGCACCCAGACTGTGCAAAGCCCAATCCGGCCTCTCTTCTCCCTGAACAATCTTCACGTCCACCACAGGCTCCAGAGCACATTGCAGAAGACACCTGAAGGCCGTGGTGCTGTTAGACTCCTCTGCTCCCTCCTGCACCACCAGCGCTCACACCCACACCCCTCCAGGGTGGAACACCCTCCATGCACCCACAGACTTTGTACCTCAGTCCTCACTCATCAGGAGCCCTTCCCTAAGTTCGCTAAATGGATACACCATTTACTTGGATTTCTTTCTTTCTTTTTTTCTTTTTTTTTTTAATACAGTGAGCGACAGAGAAGAAAAAATGGGCCCATGATCTCTCCTCCAAAACACCAGATAATCCTTGTTGATTTTTTTGTAGCAGGTAGGCTATATAAAATGAAAAGTGAGTATTCATAGTCCCTCTACTGAAAAGGAAATGCAGATAACAGTTTCTGATGAACTCTTACAGGAAATAAATGTGTATCAAAAACAACAGATTCTGGCGTTTTAGCTCACTGGTGCCACTGCCTGCCTTGCAAGTGCAAAGTCCAGAGTTCAATATCCAGTACAGGAAAACAAAAAAAAACAGATATATCTGTTTGTATTTATTGGTTTTGGTACAAAGTGATCATACTTATACACAGAGTACTGTATTTTTGCCTCTCCCATCTCCCAGTAAAAAGATGGGATATTTGGATTATATAAATATGAGCTCATTGTTCTATTTTTTAAAAAATGCCTAGCCAGGTGTGGTGACATACACCTGTAATCAAAGCACTCAGGAGGCTAAGGTGGGAGGATTGTCATAATTTTGAGGCCAGCCTGGGCTACTGGCAAGACCCTATCTCAAAAAAATAAAACAAAATACTTACCACAGTTTGTCATTTTCTAGGCTGTATTTGATGTTACTGTTATTGCCGAATGATTACTTTAGCCAAAGGGACATAATTGCACTAATTAGTTGTTCCTCCTAGTATGCCAAGAAAGAAAAAAAATTTTAAAAACTATAGGCCAGTGCCAAAGAACTGGCAGATGGCCAAGTAGGGAGAAACTTCTCATCCTCATAAGTTGAAGAGGTATGATCTTAAAACAGACTCAAAACTCAAAAGCCAGCTACATCTGGAAGACATTTCTGAAAGGTAGTCATTTCCTAAGGGTTCTAAATACTAGCAATAAAGCTACTCACCATAAGCAATTTACAAGCATCAATCCAGGAATTAAACTTTTAAAAAAATAGAAAATGAGAAGACATTTAAACAAAATACAACACCCCCCCACCAATAAAAAAAAACTTCCAGCTCACCAAAGGCAAACCAGGGGGCAATGAGATGGAACAATCCGAAAAAAACAAAAAATAAAATAAAATAAATGCCTAAAACTGGACTGGGGATTTAGCTCAGTGGTTCCACCACCTACCTTGCAATTGCAAGGACCTGAGTTCAATCCCCAGTACCAAAAAATAAAATAAAATAAAATAAAATGCGTAAAATTATGGAGAAGCAAGTTTAAATCAGCAGAGAACCCACCACTCTGTGATAATTACCACTAGCAGTCTGCTCCCATCTCCTCCCACCTAACCAAAGATACCCAGAGTCCCAGGGCACGTAAGTTATCAGCACATATTTTAACTTCCCTTTTGACAGCTGATGACACCGCTGTTAACAGCCATTTTAAGTCTTCAACTAGTATCAGGCAGTTGGGCCATTCTCTCTTTCACAAAACACTGAAAGAAATCTGTATCTCCACGAGGCTGGCTAATCTGTGAACAGGGGAAACATTACTTATAGGGAATGGAGGGACAAGTACTGACAATCTCTAAGTAACTGTGTGGTCACCCTGCATAGGAAAATTTTCAAGAGGGAGCTGGTACACCTACCTTTGGGGAGGGTAGGATACTGGAGATAGAATCCAAGAGTGCTCTAGCACTCAGTATAGCCTCAGCTTTTTATTTTATTTTATTTTTTAATTTTGAGACTGGGGCTTGATAAATTGCCCAGACCAGCCTCAAACTTGTTTTCCCCCCACCTTACCCTCCCAAGTGCTGGGATTACACACATGCGTCACCACACCAGGAGCCTGTCACTTTTCTTGTATCTCATTTTATTTAATTGCTTTTATTGTCCTTGTTCAATTTCAAAAATATCACCTGCAGGCCAGGTGTGGTGAAACACGCCTGTAGTCCCAGCGCTTATGAGAGAGGTAAGAGGATCACTGCAAGTTTAAAGCCAGCCTAGGCTACATAATGTGTTCAAATCCAGCCTGAAGCACATAAAGAGACCCTGTCCCAAAAAAATAAAATAAAATAAAAATCACCTCCATTTGACAGAGGGCCAACAGTTCCACTAGCCTACTAGTAACCATATTCTCTTTCAACTGACCTCCTAAGTCATTTCAAAGCAATGTGCAAGGTAGATTTGGAGAAGGCCAGAGATGGAACCACAGGTTGACCCAACTGAGGACCAGTGGGCCTCTGCGAAGTGGATGTATGAGGTGGAAGAGGCATTCGGGGTACAACAAAACCACATGTGCAAAGGCAGTGGCAGACACGGAGTCTTGTGGCATCTCTCCCAACCTTGACAGTCTCAGTGGTCCCTGTCTTCCATCTAGAAAGGCTATCAGAACCCACTCAGGGGGCAGATGGTGGGAAAAAGAAAAGGGTTATGACAGGTATGCCTCCCATGGTCCACAGAGTCACCAGAAACACCTTTCTTTAGAGCTGTTCCAGAGGCTGGAGAGGTGACCCATTTTGGGATAACTCTGTCCCTCTCTCCCCCATCCAGCTGGTGTCCTCCTCAGTACAGTTTCACCCAGCATGGGGGCCTCCCAGGAGCCTGGGCCTCCTTCACTACGCAAGGCTGAGCTGAGAAAGTCCCAGAAGAAAGGTCCTGAAACACCTTCAGATCCCACCCGCCTCATCCAGAGACCCACAGCCCAGGCACGTGGCCACCTTAGGGATGGGAAGGGGAAAGAGCTAGTTTGAAGACTGGGCTGAACTGAGCCAAAACTACCACATCTTACTGGCCCCCCAATACCTACAAAGCTATTGTCATCAAGACTTAGCCAGGCACAGCAGTACACAGCTGCTGTCCCAGCTACTCACGAGACTGAGGAAGATGACATGAGCCCGTGAGTTTGAGGTCAGTCTGGACAACAGAGCAAGACCCCAGCTCAAAACAAAACAAAAGACCTACTCCTTTGCTGATTAACCAAAACCACACAGCTCCCAGGTGGTTCTCCCTTTGGTTTCCAGTCATTGTAAACCCAAAAAGATAATTTTTTCTCCTGAAAGAGCCAAGTTTCGATATATAAAGCTAGGCCTTCTACTCCAGGGAAGATATATAAACAAATATGTATTTCAAAACTGTAATTGCTATCCTGGAAAATTCAGTTCTTTCGAAAAATAAGCAAACAAATAAAATAAAAGGGCAGAAGTGAGAAGATAAAATGTAGGAAGACCCAGCCTCCTACCACCCCCTAGCCCTAGCAGTCAAATGGATTCACTGCTGCTAGGAGGATTCCTTCCTATAGCCAGAAACTGTGGGCAGATTTCTGTGTCTGTGTGCTGAGTGGGGGAGCTAGCAGAACTCAGCTGGCTGCACAGAAGGACAAGGGCAAGGAGTTCAGAGTCTCCAGGCGGAACCAGGGTCATCACAAGGATCGCTAAGACAGGCATCTCCAGGTCTCAGTCAAAGACAAGAGTGCTGGCGACTGGACTCAGGAGCAGGAGGAAGCCAGTTTGAACACCAGGGCCCTCCCAATCTGGACAGAGAGAACCTAACATTGACAGACAGCAGATTTCATTTGTTTGTTTCTTTGTCTGTTTTTGGTTTTTTGAGACAGGGTCTCACTATGTAGTTGAGACTGACCTAGAACTCACTATGTAGCCCAGGCTGGTCTCAAAATCACAGCGATCCTCCTGCCTCAGCCTCCTGAGTGCTAGGCTTACAGGTGTGCGTGTGTGGCACCACACCCGGCAAGACAGCAGATTTTGGCCAATTTGATTGATGAGTGGAGCCTGGGGCCCAGATATATTTTTATTGCAATAAATAACAAATATGACACATCTTAGCTTCAGGTGTGGTGCGGGGTAAATTCAAATTACTTACAGCCAAAATTTCACCCACATTGAGGTCCATATGCTGGGCCTGGTATCCAAGGCCCAGTCTCTCTCCCTGCTCCTCTCCAGTGCATCTGGGGTCTAGTTCTAGAACTAGAAGTAGGCTCTAGTTCTCCTGAGAACCTGCTAAGTTCAATTTTCAGTGACTGCCTCTGTGCCTCCCACCTAGGCACACTCGACTCCAGCTGTCCAGTCACCTGGGAAGTCTTCCCAGATCCCACCCTCACAGCAAGTCTTCTCTTCCTCAACACATGAGATCATTTCCCAGAGTTCAGCATTTTGAATGCCAACTGGGGCCAGTGTTTCATACATCTGAAGGGAAAAGCCCCCTGCTCTAGACACCACTTTCTCCTCCCCCAGTACAACCCGCCCCAACTCCCAAACACACACTGAGATGATGGAGACACAGAGGGAGGGAGAAGCAAAGCTTGTTGACAGATATCCCAGGGAAGGGCTGGAACTAAACGTGCTGGGGGAAAGCGTTGCCAGGAGTTGGACACGCCAGCCCGGGTGGCAGAAGCTGGGAACATTTCCATTCTAGACCAGCTTCTCCAATAACTCCCCACGCACGTGGATGGATCTCTTCCCGGCTCGCTCTTAAGATCCTCACGCGCAAAACAAGAAGCCTGAACTCTAACCTCCTCTTGATGCCCTGGTCTATCGCTTCTCGGGAGTCCAAAGAACTGAACTCTAGAGCTCTATTAGCCCTCACGGATCGTGTTAGCGTCTAACGATCAGTAATCCAGATTCTTGGCGCCCAGCAAAGCTACCTTGTGACCCAGGGCGGCGATGGCCCTCCACGACCCGTCCTGTCCCTTTCGTTTCCGTTCCGCGGGAAGAGGTTCTGTAGTCATCCCCTGAGCTGTCCGCGCACCTGCCCGGCGCGCGTCAGGACTGCTGAAAGCGCGGCGCGAGGACCCGCAGCCAAGCCCACCACCTCC